GGGAACAGAACTGCTATGTAATAATCAAATACTGAGATGCTGTAATTTCATTAGCACTGAGAAATCCGGGTAGTGAGGCTGCTGACTGTCAGCTTCCATTCAGATCAAAGTAGGACCAATTAACCATGCGAGACGTTGATTAATGGAAATGAATCTGTCAGTTACTGAGGAAGTCACACAGCTACTAACAAAGCAACTTAAGCATCAGGTAACACAGCTGAGTATAAAAATGAAAGTAATAAATCAAATACTTTGAATAGAACATTTTTACTAGCCTGTTATTTATGCCACTGTGAGTAATCCCACTTATCCCTTTAGCACAGCTGGATAGAAGAGGATGGATGAGGAGCTGACAGTATCACAGGGAAACCTCCAGATTTTCTAAAATAAGCAATAAAAGGGGCATTTAATCTCTTTTATGCATCTTGTAGCCTCTAGTTTGTCAATAAATTACTTGTTCAACTTGTGGAAGCTTGCACTTTTGGCAAACATACATAAACTTAATACTAAAGTTATGGCAATACATTTTTATTATTGCTGCTATGCCTGTCATTAGTATTACAAAATAGTACTGAGCAGGAGCAGAACACTCTTCTCTTCCTGCATGCATCTCTCTGCTTCTGGCTCTCTAGAACTAAGAGCTTTAAATGGTCAGCAAGGTAAAGTCCCTGCACCCTGCATGTTTGTCACGTTCACGTGGCCTAAGGCCACACGAAGAACAAGCTGCAAAATGAAATCACACACGTGAATAAAAAATACATTTTAAAAGGGAGAAAATCACAATACGAGGGCTTACTTCTGAGTTGAACAGACACAGCTGTTTTGGAGATGGTACGAACAGCAATCAAAAGAACACTAAGCAGCAGGAAAGCTTTCTTGGTAGATACTAGACTCCTGGCAGTGACATTCTCCTCCTACACTTTATAGCTATATACAGTACAGGTGTGTATGTACATAGTAATAAAGTAGTTAGGCCACTAAAATCTACTGGCAATAGTTGTGGAAGGAATCAATTCTAAATTCTGACCATAAGGATGTCAATACAAAGTCAGAGGGAGAAAAGCAAAACTGAAAGAAATTGCTTGAAATAATATGCTGAGGAAAGATGGGGTGCACCTGAAACAACAAAAGAAGCTGTGGGACAAAGGAGAAAAAAATAACAGACTGAACAGAGAGACAGCAGGACAAGGGGAAATGGTTTTAAGATGAGGGAGGGGAGATTTAGGTTGGATGTCAGGGGGAAGTTCTTTACAGAGAGAGTGGTGAGGTGCTGGAACAGCTGCCCAGAGAGGCTGTGGATGCCCTGTCCATCCCTGGAGGTGTTCAAGGCCAGATTGGATGGGGCCCTGGGCAGCCTGGTCTAGCATGAGGTGAGATGGTTGGTGGCCCTGTGTGTGGCAGGGGGTTGGAGCTTCATGATCCTTGAGGTCCCTTCCAACCCTGGCCATTCTGTGATTCTGTGATCCTTAGCAATCCACCCTCATGAAACTACATCAGCTTTACCTGTAGGCTCCCTTTCACTTTAGACCTTAGAGCTTTTTAAATGCAACCAGTTAAATCTATTTAATTTTTTTTTAAGTTTCATACAGAAAAGATGATATGCTAGCTGCTTCTCCCAGATGGAAATCAACGAGTATACTGCAAACTGTCTGAAAGATAACACACCAGGCATAGCCATACCAACCCGACAGTTCACAAAACCCAGCCACTACTGTGTGATAAAAACACCAGCAAAAAGCACCACAGCTATTTGGCAAGAGACAGAAGGAGTTCTAAGTCTCACCTCTAAAAGGAATTCCACTACTTTGGAAGATCAAATTATTCAAAAGTGTCCCACTCCTAATTGTTTAAATGTGTTTTCATCCTTCAGCCATTTTTCCCTTCCCCAAACTATGAGGAATGGCCATTCTATGAGGACAATATGAATGTCTGCTGTTGATGTACTACTTTAGCTCAGTAACTCAGCTTTGACAGAAGGCTGAACTCTTGTCTTCCTCCTACAGAATCCCTCAGTACATCTGCCATGAATCACTCCTAGAAAGCCAGGCTACAAAATGTTGTAGAAAATGGCTCGTTTGAAGCTACTGCTGAATCGGAGCATACTGATTCAATGCATGCATGCTGCCTTTCTCTGACATTTCTATTCCTTCTCCTGTAGTTTCCAAGGAGGTCCCAGGTTTACAAGGCAGCTCAGCGCACTCTTTTGATAAGCACAATCTGAGAAATCCTCTCAGGGAAGCAGTGATTAGAGTAAGCAACCAGGAGGCCCATGCTGTGTTCCCTGCTCCATGGCTGAGCTTTCTGAGTGACCTTCTCAAGTCCTGGAACGCCTGCATTTCCCTACCTGCAAAACATTCTGATGAACACCTCCCTTCTGAAAATGCAACGACATCATTTATTATGGAAATGGTGCCTCAAATGTTGGCTTCTGGGTTGTAACATCAGGCAAAATCCAGAACTGCTAGATGACAGAACTGCCAATCTGTATTTTCTAACAGACAGAAGCATCTTAGTGTGACCAACAGTTCACTCCTGTGCCCAGAGGTTTTGTTTCAGATGAGGCAGCAGTTACTCATGCTATTTTCACCTTATTCACATCAGCCAAACCAGCAACATGAGGGCAAACCACAGAAAGAAAAAATAAATATAAAACATATCCCACATAAACAACAAAATAATACACCTTTATTTCTTGCGTTCCGTTTAATGAAGCTGAAGGACAACTAGTTAGCCTAACCTCACCTTGGTTGAGCACATGATGCTGGCAGCAGGCAGTGCTCAGACCTGGGATTAATGCTATTAGCTTAGCACCCTCAAGCATGCAAATGTATTTTAACAGTGGTGAAGTGGCATCCCCACATCAGTACAGGTCAGCACGGACTCCCACAGATGGCTTCCAGACTCCTTCATGCCCTGCAGTGACCCTGCCTGGCATAAACAGAGTTTATTTTCACTGTTAATGAGCCAAGATGTGAGTTATAAATGGAATATATAAGTGCAGCCTTGCCACTGCACCACTGTCCTTCCCCTCAATAAAGTGTAACATCAGGTAGCTGTGGAGCAACCTGTAACAGGCAGCAAAATGGGAAAGAGGCACAGCTGCAGCGTGCCCAGCCAGCTGGACAAACACAGAATAGCCAGGGTTGGAAGGGACTTCAAGGATCATGGATCTCCAACCCCCCTGCCACATGCAGGGCCACCAACCTCCCCATTTAATACTAGACCATGCTGCCCAGGGCCCCATCCAACTGATGTGCGGAATCAAACTCTCTAACCCACGTAAGGTGATAAGAGCAGGTACGTCTTTATTTCAGCACTGCGCCACACGCCGGGTGCAAGGGGGATCACTCCTCCTAGCCTGCACACCAGAGAATAGGATCCCAATACATTGATAAACCAATCCATACATATTCAGAAGTGTTACCCAAGACCCATTAACATATTCATTAATTAATTTACATACTGTCCTTCTCCCCAGTGCATGCGCAGTAGCATCCATGGGATGAAGGCTCGATGTCTTCCTCCCCCTCTGGTGGTCGTTCCGGGATGAAGTCAGACATCTTCCTTGCCACGTCCTTCCAACCTTTGTCCCAGTTTTGAGCTCTTCTCCCGCCCTGCATACCTCAGCAATTCCTAATTCTGCCTATCTTTTCTCCCCCTTGCTTTCTTAGGGGCCCTTTCCTGCTGACTGGAGAAGGCTCCCTTTTGAGAATGTGTCTGGGCTAGCAAAAGGTTAAGCAATAAGTTCCCCTTGAGCTAGCAAGAGGTTAAATTAAGTGATGCTATTTGCGAATTTCTTTTGAGTTAGCAAAACCAAGCGATGTTATGGACCCCTTACATCTATATGTTTCTATATATTTATATTCTGTGATCTTGTATTCTTCAGCTTATTATCTTATCCTGCTTGCTACATTCTTGGCTTCCTTTACAGCTGGCCCATGTTTACCTTTCATACCCTAACTCACAACCTGGCCTTGAACACCTCCAGGGATGGACAGGGCATCCACAGCCTCTCTGGGCAGCTGTTCCAGCACCTCACCACTCTCTCTGTAAAGAACTTCCCCCTGACATCCAACCTAAATCTTCCTTCCTCCAACTTAAAGCCATTTCCCTTTGTCCTGCTGTTATCTGCCCTTTCAAAGAGTTGATTCCCCTCCTCTTTGTAGGCTCCCTTTAGGTACTGAAAGGCTGCAATGAGGTCACCCCACAGCCTTCTTTTCTCCAGGCTGAACAAGCCCAGCTCCCTCAGCCTGTCCTCATAGGGGAGGTGCTCCAGTCCCCTGATCATCTTCATGGCCCTCCTCTGGACCCTCAGTCTTTCTCGTACTGTGGGCTCCACACCTGGGCAACTGAAAAAATACAAGCTGCCCTCTGATATTTAGCACAGATCCTCAGCATTAGCCCTGCAAGCCAAACCGAACATCTTGCTGAGCCAAGGACTGAAAAAGGCACCCTAAACCTTAGGAAAACTGTTACGAGGAGTGAAGAACAGACTCCACCTGAAGGCAGATGGGTGTTGATATTTCAGTCAGCTTCCACACGCTGCACTGAGCTCAGTGGGCTGCAGGCAGCTCCACAGCCGCCACATCCACACCACGCAGCCCCAGCAGCCCCTCAGCCCACAAAATGGCGGCCGCGCACACCCCTCAGGCTGTGCTTCTCTCCCTCAGCACAACCAGAGAGCTCCACTGCATCACACATGCACGGATATGACTGCAATCTGGTGTGTAATTAATTAGGAGACAGGGCGATAGGCAGCAGCCTGCACTCAGGAAATCGGCGCCCTCAAAAGGCGGCACCGAACCCCACAAGACGGGGTCACGGCGCCGAGGAACAGCAGCCTCCAGCCCGCCCGCTTTGCCGCGACCTGCACGAGCCCGAGCCGGATTGGCTCTCCAATTTCTGTGCTGCGCGCTGATTGGTGAAGAGAACCCCTCGCGCGCTCCTGCTTCCCTCTTATTGGCTCCTGCTTCCCGCCCAGCGCCTGACTCCCCGCCCGCCTCCCCCTCTCCCTCACACAACATGGCTACGCGCAGGGGTCGTCCGCGCCGCCGCTCCCAGGCGGACCGAGCTTCCTGCGGAACGCCCGAGCAGCCGAGCGGCGCGGGCGGCACCTCCCTGCTCGCCAGCGCCACCACCTGGCCCCTAAGGCGCTACGGCCGCTTCCTGTCCCCGACGGACAGCGAGGACGGGGAGGGAAGCGGCCACTCCTGGAAGGTGACGGTGTGGAGCGTGCGGGTGTCCGGGCTGCCGGTCCTGAGGGGTTCTGAGGGCAGCTGTGCGTAAAACAGCGACAGCAGGGGGATTGCGGGCACCTGCTGCGAGCCCTGAGGTGCATCACCAGTCCTACCCCTGCTAAAGCAGGTTCCCTGCAGTGTTACACAGGGGTCCAGGTGGGTTTCGGACATCTCCAGAGAAGGAGATCCACCTCCTGTCTGGGCAGCCCGCGTCACCCAAAGAATTTTATGTTCGTAGGAAACTTCCTATGAGGGGAAATGGTTTGAAGTTGAGGGAGGGGAGATTTAGGTTGGATGTCAGGGGGAAGTTCTTTACAGAGAGAGTGGTGAGGTGCTGGAACAGCTGCCCAGAGAGGCTGTGGATGCCCCGTCCCTGGAGGTGTTCAAGGCCAGGTTGGATGGGGCCCTGGGCAGCCTGGTGTGGAATTAAATGAGGAGGTTGGTGCCCTGCATGTGGCAGGGGGTTGGAGATGGAGATTCGTGATCCTTGAGGTCCCTTCCAACCCTGGCCATTCTGTGATTCTGTGAGATGTTCCAGTCTGTGCCCGCTGTCCTGCCATTGCACACCACCACAAGGAGCCTGGCCCCCTCCACTGGACTGCCACCCTTTAGGTATTGCTAAGCACTGATCAGCCCCCCCAAGCCTTCTCCAAGCTGAACAGTCCCAGGTCTCTCAGCCTTTTCCCTGACTGCTGGCACCAGATCCTGAAACCTTTCCTTTTGCACTTGTTCTGCACTCAAAAGACTGTGTCTTTACTTTGTCAATCTTTCTAAAGGTTTTTGAATCAAACGAGGAGTCTGGTCGTCTTATTCTTACTATTGTTGTTTCTGGCCATTTCTTTATTTCCCAAGGAAGGACAGTGCTGGTAAGTTGTTCAGTTTCTTGTGTATAAAGAACATTTCTCCTTTGTTGTTAGCATTAATACTGGCTTATTTTTCCTGTCTGTTTCATGTTCTCTCCCTGTGAAACTGCCAATTTTATTGTATCCATGGAAGATACCACATGGTATTTACTCTTTTCATTTAGAGTAACACTAAAAGTATTATTTCATACAGAGGAACAGCATTTCTTCTGTGTTTCTACAAATCTAATTTAATAGTGCTGCAGAGTTTGATAGATGCTGTTACTTCTTTTTGTCCAACATAATTCTTCAGCCTAAGAAAAACAGAATATGCCCTTTAGAAATGGATAAAAATATAGCTTCTTGGAAGATTTGCCATGTGATCCAGCTAGTTTCTTGCCAGTCACCTGTTAGTATTTTGGTGCTGATACTTTGGTTTATCACATGGCATGTTTTTGTTTGGTTGGGTTTGATGCTGGGTAGCCTAACATCCCTCTTATAGTCTTGGAGGCAAAATAACAACTTCAGATTGTGTCAATTGATTCTGCTGTAGCTTGTGCTAACAGTGAAGATATCATTAAACACCTCACCTAGAAGGAATTGGTTTGATGCTGAAATTACTCCATTCCCTGCAGCAGAGAAGCCTGTCCTGGAAGGTAGTATTCTCTTTGAACATCAGTATTCAGTGATGACAGCAAGTAGGAATTGGCTGGTAAAAATACTAGCAGGTTATGACAAGCCAACAGAAAAATGCTACACTACTAAATATATATATTTTTAAACAGAATGTGTAAGTGGGTATGTTTAAGGTTATCAATTAGTTTTTGCTGTGCCTCTTAAGAAGTCTTATACTTAAAGAATAAAAGCATAGAGGGAAGGTCCCATGTAGATATCCCAGATTTCAAGAATCAGTTTAAAAATTCACCCTTTACTTTTGGGTGCATTTAGTGTATCGAATAGGTGATGAGTGAGCTAACAGGGAGGTGTCTGGATGCCCTTTGTACCAGACATGTTGTGTCAGGCACATGTTTGTGCCAGGCTTATATAGTTAGGAAGGACACGATGAATGTTTTTGGACAAGGTAAAAATGAAAGATGGAAGATATTTCAGCATATTTTGAGTGTTGAAGTTGTGTGGAGCCAGTAGTTGGACTCATTGATCCTTATGGGTCCCTTCCAAAACAGGATATTCTACGATTCAATGAATAAGAAAAGGAGTTGGAGTAATTGAATGTAAAGATACTTAATACAGAAGCAATTAAATAAGAACTGCCAACTTCTGTGGGGAATGGGTCAGTGCAGAATGCCCCTCACCTGGGACTGGTATCGTTCTAGTAACCTGTGTACTGACTAGCAGGCTTGTATTACTTTGTACCCTTGAAATAACCATAAACAGCCTAGCTGAAAGACTGCTTTAGAAACTAATGAAAGAGGGAAAAAGAACGTGGACAAGAGCTGTAATGCTTTGATGACTACACCTGGCATAGACTGTGTACAAAATTGGTAATGTATGCATTTAAAAACCTGATTGCACATTCCTTTGGGTGCACATCTCCTAGCACACGTAATTGAGATCATGCTGTAGATATTCTGTGCATACAGAACTAAACTAGTGTGAATTGCATTGTTACAACTTGCCCTATGACTATTCATCTCTCTCTGCAAGAGCTCAGATTGGAGTAGTCCTCCCAAAGTTTCCTCTTAAGCAAATACAACTTGCTGAAAAACCTAGCAGCTATCCAGTCACTTATTTCTGAACATAGGTGGGCATCTAAGCACTCTGTTGGGTTTTCTGTTCACAAGTGATTTGGTCCAGCACATCTGGCTGCTTGGACTTGTTTCTTAAGCACATGCCTTCCCAGAAAGATGTCCCTTTCCTCAGTGCCATGCAAGACTGATGTGTTGTGATAAAATTCTTGTGCTTAGGATAATCCCAATCCACGGGTATCCTTTCAAGCTTTGAAGAACAGACTGTGGAATCTATTTAGTAAAGCAGTTACTATCATCAACCAGAATGAAGCACATGTATTGTGCTAAAACAGCACAGGCAGCAATGCTGTTGGCCAGAAGCTGATAACAGCACTGATATCACAGTATGTGTGGCCATTACCAAGTCTCTGAACAGTTTTGTTCAAGTAACGCACAGGGACACCAGAAATTCAGTATCATTTCAGTATCACTCAAGCTGGAACTGCAGAGGCCACTGGTGAGATTCTGCAAAGACCTTGTTGAGATGCCATGTAACAAGAAAACTGCCATGTTGTGTGGTCTTTGTTGTTGCTGTAGAAATAAGCAGACTGTAGAAGTAGTTAATCTCACTGGTGCTATCTCCCTGTAGTCTCCAGCTCCCAGTTGTCAGAAACCTGTCACAACATTATAAACAGGCTTTGCACGACTAAATACATAGATCTCCTTTGAATCTGTCACAGACCACATCTTCTCACTGGGGGTCCATTATAATGGACATTTTGTCACATGGGATAACGTGAAATTCACAAGTTTTGCTCCAGAGGGAACATATCAAGTTTGATAGAGTTCTGTAATTGTGGGAAGTACACAGCTCAGGTTTTTAAGACGTGTGTTCATTTCTACTTGCTCCCATGGGCTGCTGAGTATTTCCTTTTCAAGGGCAAGGTGTTCTGCAGCCCATATACGCTGCCTTGCTTGCACTGAAATTCCCTCTGATGTAAATTACAGAACTGTTTGAGTTGGAAGGCAGCAATAAAGGTCCAGTCCATCCTCCTGCAATGCACAGGGACACCCACAGCACAGCAGGTGCTCAGAGCCCCCAGCCTGACCTCCGTGTCTGTAGGAGTGGGGCACCACCACCTCTCTGGGCAACCTGTGCCCTTAGTGTAAAAAAAATAACTTTTTCTTATATCCAATCTAAATCTCTTCTATTTTGAAACCATTTCCCCTTGTGCTTAAAGAATAGTTTCTTGCTATGTAGTAAATACATCCCTTAAAAATTGTTGATATGGAGTCTTCTGATCCATCTTCTAATCCCTGCTTTTCAGGCCTTTTGATGTACTATAGGCTTCTGATTTTGAGGGAACTGGCTAATGGTTATTGTAGCTTTATCTCTGATCCTCTGATAGGAATGCAGTGAGGCACGTGATCTGTGTGTAAGCCCTTCCAAACACTGTTGCTGAAAAGTATGTTGTGCATGATGTGAGGTGACCAAGCATGGCAGTCACACCAGTCCCACTGGCTGCAACATCCTGGAGAAGACTGAAAGTGGCTTTACTGTCTTTAGAGTGGACCATGTAGGCTCTTTGCACTTTACAGGTATTAAGGAATGATAGAAAAGATCTCAAAGAATGGTTAAACAGTTGTTCTGGCTTAATATGCACTAGAGATGTGACATTTAGTTCAAGAACTACTGGATGTTTTACGCTGATTTGAATACCAGAAGTCTGCTGTAGTGTGCTAAAACTCAAATAAACCAGCCACCAACCTGCAACAAGTGCTGTTCTCCAGTTATCCTCTACTTGGTGCGTAGACAGATAAGCCACCTTTTTTAAGACTGTGGAGTGTTTCTGAAGAGTGGATATGTTTGTCATTGGACAGCATTAAGCAGTCACACAACATATGATTATGGAAATTGCCATCTGACACAAACAAGTGGTTCCTCAAGCACAGTGCTTCTTCTCAGCCACTACTTATTTCAAAGACAACTGAAGGAAGTTATTCTGGCAGTAGTTCTGTTGTCACACAGACCATTTCCTTCTCAGCTTGAATAACTATTCTGTATTTTTGTAAAATTTCTGTGCCTGGATTACAAAGGCTTTTTTTTTTTCCCTGCAGAGGAAATCCAAGAATGAATGGAATCCTTATCTAAATTCAGAAATTCATTACATGGTGAATGTTCCCAATTTATTTATTTATTCTAATTGCAGCACTAAATGAAACCTTGCCCAACTCCAAGAGTTTCAACATGAACCTAAGTAATAGGTTAAAAAAGAATCACAGGATATCCTGAGTTGGAAGGGATGCATAGGGATCATCGAGCCCAAGCCCTGGCTCCACACAGGGCCACCCAAAAATCAGACCACATGTCTGAGACTCCATGTGCTGCTTGTACTGCAGCAGCTTGGTGCTGTGCCCACTGCTCCTTCCAGTGCCCAACTGTTCCCTGGTAAAGAACCTTTTCCTGACAGCCAGCCTCACCTTCCACCTATGCAGGTCTGTGTGTTCCCTTACGTTCTGTCGTTGGACATCAGAGAGAGGAGAGTAGTGCCCACCTCTCCAACAAGCTGTAGTCCACAATGAGGTCACCCTTCAATCCAGTTTTTATCAAACGTTTATCACAAAAGTGATTAATTGAATATTTTTAAATGGGCAATACTGTAGTATGATATATTCTCACCTCTTCTAGTGTAAAATTGGAACATGCTAAAATTGGTGTGGTCATGGATTCATATTACTTTGTTTTGTACTTTCTGTTTTCTTTAGGAAAAGTCAGAGTACATCTGTTCTTCAGTGGTGTGCGTGTTTTATAAAAATGAACCTTTTTAGCTGCCAGCAAGTTCTCGGTTATGCTAGTAAGATTGTGGGTGGATCTTTTTAAAAGCCTAGAAAAAAATATAATCAGTTTCATGCTGAAAAGTGTTAATTTCAGACTTCATATTTCATAGGGAAATGCTCTTTTTTCATTCTTCTGCAGTAAATGTCAGTGTTCGTTGGACTCAGTGCAGATCAGGTCCATTTATGGAAGACTTTCAGTACGTCTCCATTTGCACAAAACTGAGGTGAAAAACAGTTCAGAAATGGAAACGTGTATTTCATTAATGGCTGAATTAAGCTGATCCATTTGGGGAAGAACACTCAGGCGTTCCTGACTTTGTATCAACATATTTTCTCTTAAATGCTTGTCTTGCAGTCCTTACTGTTTTCTGAAAGCTGAGGAATCTTTTCTTTAAAAAAAAAAAGTCGCTGTGTAGAGCCAGGTGACACCATGAACTGTCTGTAAGAAGAATGTTTATAAAACAGTTACAAAATGTTCACATATTACAACTTTAATACATACAATAGCCTTACAGAATTATTTTAATGAGTCACAACATAGTGAAGTATTCAGTGAATTCTTTTCTGTTCGTCTTTTCACTAATGGAAGTTGAAATACTGTTTTCTTGCCAGAGAGAACCCTACATTGTGGGCACTGAGTCTGAGCACTTTCAGAGCAGGCAGAGGAGTACGTACCTCGTGCTGTGCTCACTGCTGTGTGGTGAGGTGCTGTTGTTTTGACATGATTTCAGTACCTGAAAACGCTCCAGAATTGCTGATCAAAGCAGGTCTGTGCTGCTGGAAGAAGCGATTGTGTGCAAGTCCAGCGTTCCCATCAGTTGCCCAAAGAAACCAAATAATTTACTTGAATGAGTAAACTTCCAAGGAATGGGAATGCTTTCAAGGCCGTTTTAAACATTCTGCAATGACACATCCAGAAATGACTACCTGTGATCAACCAGATGGGATGAAGAGGAGGGTAAATGGAACTTCGGAGCCTGGAAGATACAAATCCATCATGTCTAATGTATATCAGACGGGGTCTTGTTCGTGATTTTCAGTATTTCATTTGGAATTAAATTGCATAACATACTTATGGGACCTGTTTTTGCAGTGTTGCCTAACAGATGGTGTATCTTAGGGTAGGAAAATCTCATTCCTGCACACTGTAGGTAATGGAATTTTAACAGGAATACCTCCACAGCCTCTCCAGCAGTTTCTGGCCATGCTCTGAGGACACATCGTGTTCACTGTACGCTGCACAGTTGTATACTTTATTTCCTGTCCTTTCTTCAAATCACACATCATGAACATTTTACTTCAGTGTTTTATTGGATGCAATTAATTCCAGTGCTAGAATTCTTAGTACCCTACAAATGAAACAAATTGAAACTGTGACGACGGGCTTATTTAATAGGATAAAATAAATCCAGAGTAATTGATTTGCGACCTGATCTTTGGAACTGTAAGTTAAGCACCCTGAGAGCCCTCCTGGTCTCCTCCTGACTTCCAGTAAGTTAACAGTTCCTAGGGTGCAGTAGATTCTAACCTCATGAATTAGCCAAGTGCTCAGCAGATATTCTGATGCTCTTGGTTCTCTCTTTGGAACACCTGAAAATGAGATACCAAACGTAAATTTTAGTTTATTTCAATGTGTCCTGTTGACATGTTCAGTTTGGATAAGCTTTGTACATTAGTTTCCCCATTTATATTTGCTGTAATGACACATTCCTGTTGTACAGTGATGACTAGCAGCAATAATTAGTTGTAAGGGGTTCTGATCTGTACTATTCTTTTGCCCTTTATTCTACTAACCTGAACTACAGTAGTGATACATATTGATGAAATAAATTCACCTGTCTTTAGTTTAAGATAAAGCATTGATTTAACAAAGTTTATATTTTGTATCAGGGCTGAAAGAAGAAATTTAATTTGACTTAGTGATGGGATGCCTTCAGGAGCTTCAGCCAGCTCATCTCTCTGGGTCACCTCTCTGGGTCAGCTGTCATGGTTTAAAATTGTAGTTTAAAAATATATATATATTTTCAAGTTCTAACTTCAAAACATATCCAGGCTTGTCCTGAATTAGGGGTTTAGTTTTCTTGTTTGCTCCTTCAGGGGGCTGCAGTTACATGTGTATCTGTGGGAGCTCTCTGTACAAAGTGAATGCCTGGCAGTGGGAGCTCCTGCACCCAGCGCCTTGCCAAAAGACAGTTGTCACCGAGTCCCCTGTGCATGGCTGTCTCAGGTGTGTGTCCTGCACTTTCCTGCTCTGTAAAGAAAACCCTCTGATCAGTTCTTCAGAATCAAAGCTTGATACCAGCATTTAAAATCAGGCTTCTAAGAGACTGGGGATGAAGAAATTGCACGCAGAGAGATAACAGAGCTTAACATCCTTTTATTCCTCCTTAGCTTGCAGTCTGTCTGCCGTGACTTTTTGGCCTTTTCTCCTTTCCAATTCCTGTTCTATATTCTGAAGGTGTGGCTGAGCCAGCTGATGCTTACACCAACTAAGATCTGTGTTAACACAGCCTGTGTAGCACATGGCTTCTGCTATGCATGGAGCTCCCCAGAGATGCTGTGGCAGTATTTAGATTGCTGAGGCAGATACAGAAGGAAGGCATCTTCAGATTCTGTGATTCTACTAATGCATGTGTTAGTCTTAACATAATAATGAGGGTTTGAATTGAATTACTTTCAAAGATTAATTTTCACACCTACTGGTGTGAGGATGGAATTCATAGTCATTTTTCATAGTTTTATTTCATAGTCATTAATGAAAAAAAAATAAAGAATAAGCAGTTTTCTGTGTTAGCTGTGTTCATATGTTGCTTAGCACTCAGGGTTTTCTAGATGACAGAATAAAGGAAGATTTGTAACAATAAGCAATACCTTGCACCACAAGGGCAAGAACCTTGCAGAACAAGGGCCTCATTATCCAGCAACTTTTTGAATGCTGAAATGTAAAACCAGAACAAAAGTCTTTCCCAGTTCATGACAGGACTACGTGGGTGTCAATCTGGAATAGCATTATTGGCTTCTCTGCCTCTTGGGTGATGTGGTCACGTCTTGTCCTGTTCCCCAAATACCTGGGAAATGCCTTGCTTTGTTTTCTGCTGTCATTTATTTTTTCTCAGGATCCTCCCTCGGAGGACTTAGATTTTTGTCACAGATGCATGAAATTGTTTCCCTTGAATGCAGCGTTCGTACAAGCATGACCCTGGAGAATGGCATTCAGGAGTATGTGCACGATTGAAAACTAATCATCAAACTTAGAAAATTACTGCCACTTGTATCTTCAGACTGCAAACACTCAAGTCTTTTGTTCCTGCCCAATTTTACGTCGCCTTTCTGTCTCGGTTCCCAATTAATCTCCTACTGCCATCTGTCTTTGCTCGTGCCCAGTGCTGCTCAGCTGTGCTCTGCTCTGAATGCAAAGCAGGTATTGGTGTTTCCTGCCCGAGGGAAACGTGACCACAGCTGATTTGTTCTGTGTGTGCACAGCAGCACGGGGATGGCATCATGGGGCTGCTGGTAGTATTTGTTTCTCTCTGCACATGTCGAGAGCAGATTTAAAGCTGATCTAGTTACCAACATGAGGGATTTAACAGTGGAGTCCAATCTGAGTAGTTCTGTGAAACTGAGTTTGTCCAAAACATCCCCTCTCCTTTTGCAGTTAGCTTGCCTGCACCAAATCTGCTGTTGTACTGCTCAAGTCACGCACCAAGTTCTGCTATTTGCTGTCACTATTTTTAGTTTTTTTTCTGCTTGGCAATATACAGTCATCCAGATGTACAAGAGGAAAGGAAGCTCTTTCTGTTTTGTTCTTCGTTTAGTTAATTAAACTTGAAGAAAATTCAATTTCAGTTAATTAAATTTGAGGTTTGGAGTTGAATAATTAGGTGCACAAAAATAATGCTAAATGCTATTTATTTCTCCAGCTTGCTTTACCTCAGGAACAAGGCATATAAACGAAAGACAAGCTGGGAAACATCAGTGAAGTAACTGGTAGGAAAGTTAAACATTGGCTGCCTTTTATGATCTCTATGAAAACGGTGATTATTTTAAGGAGAAAACATTTGTCCTACCTACGTCTTACAGAGAAAGGAGAAGTGCTATAAAAATAGGCTTACTATGAGAACAGCTACATGTAAACAAACAGATCGTGTGCATCTCAAGCAGTAAGTGGCTGAAATGGATGGAGTAAGCAGGAGTGGCCACGAGTTGAAGAAAGTGGCCTAGTGAAAGGGCGGTGTCAGAACTGCTTCTCCAGCAGCCCTGGCTGTGGGTAGGAAGCAGTCCTGCTCCAACTCACATTGTTTCCTGGGTGGTTTGGTTGTCCAGGACTCAGTCTGGCTGCTTGACCAGAGTGCACAGCTCTGAATGGACCCGTGTGTTTTGAGAAGGCACAGATACTCCTTCGAGCATGAAACATACTCAACTTTTACAGGGAAATAAGTTCCTTGTGCTGCTGAGCAGCCCGTTACATTTGAAGAGATAGACAGCGAATGGAACTGGAGTATAAAAATACCAAGTTACCCAGGCTGCTGCTTGTTTACCTGGATTCCAGCTAGAGAAATGCCTGCCTGGCCCTCGGTTAAATGCACACGGTCCCATTAGTCGGGGTTGCCTGCCCTCTGCTGCCTTCTCCAGCAACTTCACAGGCTTTGGGAGGAGAGTTGGAAGTTCTGCTCTGGCTGGCTCATTGTGCATCTCAAGGTCACTTTCATAACATGCATACTAAATATATATGGAAATTAGAATGTGCTGTGGCAGTTGTTACTGGAGCTACCAATTCCAATTTAATTCAGCGTGGTAAAAATTACTTATTGGCACTTGTTTGATAGATACAAAAATGCCCGTTCTGAGACAACAGTCATCTTCATTAGGGTTTAAATTATATCACATCATTTGAGCGTGTAGTTTGGAGTACTGTAAGTGTGCTGTGCAAGTAGTTTGTGCTCTGCTTTGTTTCAGGAGGGCTTCTCATTAATTGATTCCCAGAAGTGGTTAAGGATAGCAAGACGAGCAGAGTGCCTGCTGCTTCATGCTCAGTCAAAGGTAGGGAGTTACAGTGCAGTATTTCTAATTGCTATCAGTTCTGGCTGGATGATGTTTTTTTAATGCTGGATAAATTAAACCAGAAACTTTAAGATCATGTAAACTGTGTATATAAATTAAAGGTGCTGGTATTTTTTTCTTTGCTCTTTTTTCTTGTGTAGGTATGAAACAAACTTGGATTGAATCAAGTTTGTGTCTTTTGTATCTGCTGCTCCTTGAGGCTTTCAGCCTATTCAGAGTTAGCTGCTAAGACAGCTAGGCCAATATTTCTTTTGGATTCCATTTGCCAGCCTGAACATCAAAGCCTGAAGCAGCCGATGCTGGGAAAGCTGTGCTGCTGACAGTTAAAAAGATAAAACAATCTCTGCACATACAGAAACCTGCTGCCTATCAGCCATGCTTCTCTGTGGCACATGAGTACCCAAACAAGTGATTCAGCCTTTTTCTGGCTACAGATAGTAGTGCCAGTCTGGTCACTCACACAGTTGGTGTGGGAGCGATTGGAAGGGACCTGGATTACTCTGTCTTCTTCATGAAAAGGGGTTGGTCAGACTTGAAGTTGATAAGAAGTGTCATGTCATTACTTGTGTACAAATCTCAGTTTTCCTGGTTGTAGAGCCATTCCAGGAGCTCTTTCAGAAATCAACCCTGCTTCATAGTGAGAATACCTCCTTCTTTCTCCCCAATACATTCTGCTCTTTGTTTCAGCCTAAACAGCTGCTTTCAATTTAACTCTCTTTACTTGATGAGGGAATTCACCTTTAGGTTAGAAATGAAAGTTTTGGAAAGAACCCCTCATTCAGTGGCTGCTAGAGACCACTATGAATTCTAGGAACCTTTCACAGAACTATTAAGGCATGAAAACATCTCAAGTGCTCTAAGTTGTTCTGGCATTCCCCCCTGATGGAAACTCTTGAAGGAGGCATGCAGTAAGTTATTGTAATTGCACACAGCAGTATCCAGGATAGATGAAAACTGTAAAAAGTCCTCTTTGGATCTTTTACCTGGTATCTTCTCTGACAGATGCACAGCTATTTTTTTCATAGGAAATTACAAACCAAACAGTACTGTTTGCAGAGAGAGATGCCTTGCTAACTGCAAGCTAAATGCAGGTGCAAGGAATGCCAACACTGTGCAAATAGAAGGACTGTCCATTTCAGAATGAGCCTAGACAAGCGGTGGCACAAGGAAATGCAAAAATAGGTATCTTCAGCTGTTTTAAATTCATGGGTTATGTTTGCCTGTACCCAAAACACCTTTGCTGTCTGATTTTTGTCAGATTAGTGTTATGAACTGTAGAGTATCACAGAAGACTACTGAGCTGTTGCAGAGTAATTAGCTCTGATGAATCAGAAGATGATCAATTTCCTTCACAGCTAACAGAATCACCTCCTCGGTGCAGCATTAAGGGACTCCGCTGCATCTCACAAGAAACAAAGCCAACAACACTGTGATTGTGAGGCTTTAAAAAGCTCCAAGGAAAAGCTTTCAGGAAACAAGGAATATTAACACTGTCTTAAATGAATTCACTGTGTCCGAATGTTTACTTACCATAAATTCTCATGACTTAAAGTGGACTTAATGGTATTGCAATGGTCCTGTCATGCAGTTTCTCACGTTTGTATCCTAAATTAGAGCTGAAACAAACCCATAAATGCTGTCAGTGTATATAGGTTCTGTGCTATTGTTCAAAAACACGTTTAAAAAACAAGTAACACAAATACAGGAGGGCAGCCACACTGTGCAGAGGGTTGTCTCAGCCCTGGAAAACCTAAATAAGGACAAAAAACGTACAAGAGGAAGCAAAAGGCACTTAAAAAGTGAAAGCAAGCAGTGTTTTTGAACACCACCTCCTATATTTGAGGGCACAAAACAACTACAGGGCATGTGCAGCTAAGTACTGCATTATTATTTCTCACCTTGTGCTCCTCTATTTCAGTCCGATTTCATTTTAGTGCTTTCCTTTATTTTCTTTACATGCTTTCTTTGCTGCACGTTACAGCTTTGCAGTTGCAGAGTATTCCATCTCAAAAAAACAACAACAAAAAAAACCTGCAGAAGGTCATTAATGGGATTGTGCACTTCAGAAGAAACTGAACATTAACACATTGGCTTTTCAAAGTTATTAATACTGTGTTCTCAGTGAAACCTGCATGTTTCTTACAAAGCACTTTTCTAGTAGGGCTCTCACCTGGCCAACTGCATTTCTAAACTCTACTTTGAGAAACTTAGCATACTTACATTTAAGATATGCAAAGAAATTACCTTTCATGGGTGAGCATGGGAAGCTCAGATGTACTGCTGGGAACCTCATTCTGTGGAATACATACATATTCACATACACGTGTAATAATGAAACCATATCTATCAGATGCACGCATGCATCTTTCCATGAAGGGAAAAAAATGTAAAGTTCACAAAGCCTTCTGTTTATAACCAGGGGGCTGTAGAGGCAACTGACAAAGGCCTTCTTTTAAAGTCTCCAAAAATAATTCAAATTAAGATGCAAGTTGCTGTTTTCTCATGTTAATGAGAACTGACCTTCCTGGCACATATCCACAGGTCAGTTCTCGGTTACGTTTTCTTGTCTCAGATGACTCCTTCATTAATGAAATGTAACTTGAAATCTGAAGGAAGCTGAAGGCTTACATAAGTTGTCTCAAGTCCAGAGAAAACCTACTCTTTTCCTGCTACCTTAACTGTATTTTATATTTGCAATTTCAAGATCAAACTAAGTCCTAGAAATACAACCTGCAAACAAGAGCATTCAGTATCAGCCTTACATCAGCTGAAAGCGATTAGCACAGTTACTGTGCCTGACAGGCTCTTCGTGTATTTAAAAAAATACTGTTGTTCAGCATGACAACTTACACTGGGGATCAGTTTTGCCCAGCTGCTTTGTTTTTACTACTTGATGTAATTCTCCACTTTACTAAACAGGAAGACTGTGCATCTGTGTATGTCTGCCATTTTGTGTGAAGGACAGCTGCACCGAGCCATTCGGAATGTCAGTCAGCATCACTGTTACAGCAGCAGGCAAAGACTGTTCCTCAGCACAAGAGTTTACAAGGACTGATTTCAGGCTGAGGTTACAGAGTAACTTTCCATTTGCGCAGTACTTCTGCTGAAGCATTTCAGTGTCTTTCACTCCTTATCTGCATTAACTTGGTTCAAAGAACAGCACTCAGCTGGAACGCTACATTGAATTTGTTTATTGAGCTGTGCAGGGGCTTGCTGGGTGGGTAAGGCTGGGTCTGAGGCAGAGAGAGACATAAATCCTAAATGATACAATTCCCAGAACTCTTAGCTTAGATGCCAGATGACCTGTGCTTGCTTTAGAGTCATCTCATTTTCTGTTACCAGTAACTGGTCAGCGCTGGTGAACTCTTACAGAATACTATTTCCAGCAACGGTAAGAACTTAAATCTCACTGCAGTCACAGTACAAACAGTAGCAATGCACGTTCACTTGGTTAGACCTTTAATTAGTTGACAGGTGATCCTGTTTGCTTGCCATTTTCTCTTACTTATTTTTGCTGGATTTCAGACTGGGGATTATATTCTCATTCAGCTGCTGAGATAATAAAAATACAGCAGGGAAAACTTGTTTCTTTGTCTTTAAGATGGAGCAGTGATCCAAGAATTAATCAGCTTCTATCTAACTATATCTAATAGGGGCTTAATTAAATCAAAATATGTTGAGTGGATGGATGAGCAGTTAAATTAATTTCTCCCTGATTTTTCAGCAGAACGAATGCCGCATGTTTCGAGTTCAGTTTGGTGGAGATTCAGAAGAGCAGATGCTGGAACACTGCTGCAGCTGTGTTCAGAAACTCACAGAGTATGTGCCAGTTCACGAAGCTGATGAACTAAGCCAGAACCTCTGTTACAGTCGCAGCCAAGTGGAGGATACTGAGCAAAATACATCAGTACTACATGCAGTAAGTAGAGCCATTCTGGGAGGCAGCGACAGAAGCAGGCTATCATATTCCTGCTTTCTTAACCTGCCTGAAAAAGGTTAACAAAACAGTGCTTATAAAATTGCTTCTAGCTCCTCAAGTTGGGAACCACCTTGCAGCTTTTCAGCCGAATTGTACTGCTTATGAGAAATTTAAGTAACCATGACTTAAGTTCTCTTTTTTGTGTTTACCCACTCCTCCTTTGCAGTTTTATCAACTGTAAATATGGTCATCATATCCATTTTAGCTAACCTAACCTAAGGATAGGCAAAAAATGTTTGCACTCCCCCTGGCAAAGAATTAAGGTGACTGAAAGAGGCAGATAGTGCTGCTGAGGATGACTAATTCTTAAATATACACTCCTGGGTATTCAGAGGATCTCATTCACCAGCTTTGAAAAGCATTTCTGTAGCTAACTCATCCAGGAAACCTCTCGGTGTGAGAAAATATATCAAGAAAAGCAATGGGAACAACAAAGATTTCAGCTACATCATTTTCAAGAAATCCTATATTGCTGAAAAGTGGAAACAATATTTGGTAGAGAAAATTGGAGGAGGGGTGTTGAATATATTGCTGATTTGTCTGTGCTTTGGATTTTAATTCATCAGGAAATGAGTGAAATAACAGAAGCTAAATGAAATATTTAATGGCAGAACAGAGTTGAACACCAGCAGTCGTGCTAACAGCATCACTCCAAAAATGACTGAAAACCTCACTCCAAAACTGAACTGCCACCCTGAACCATCTTTTCAGCGATGTAACCCATGAGAAGTTAAAGAGCATGCTCCTGGGGAGTGTTCACACTTATTTCTTTAAAGTTACTTCCAGCAAGTAGTTTGAGCTACCTTGGTTTAGCTATGACAGTTTAACTACAGGCCCATTATTCCTTGTCTTTCATTTTTAAAGAATTTAACAGATGTGCTTTCAGGTTCCATAAAAAGAGGTGCCTTTTTATTGCTCAAGGTAGCTGAGCACACTCTTCCTTTTCTCTCTCCAAATGGAACCACTTCCCTTCCTGCACATGCTCACGCTTCTTAGTAACAAGCAATTATCTGCATTTGATGTTTTCTAGCCATGTGAGCCTCTACCAGATACCTGCACAAACTTTGGAGAAAGAAGATCTACAATGCAGCTAGCACAGGTAAAAAGGAAAAAAAAAAATTTGGATCCCATAAGTAAAACTCAGATGCAGAGAAAGCTGTCTTGTGCTGTAAACATCTGCTAAGTTTCTTCATTACACATCAGGATGCTATCAGGGCTGCTATCTATATCAACAAAACTAAAAATTGCCATTCTTCTGTCCCTGTATAAGGTGGGTGCATTATCCCTGCTTCTGAACACAGCTTTCTGCTAGTGAGGCTTTCATTTGCCGTACGCTGTAATCCATCTCTGCCTTGAGTTACTGACAAATTCCCTTCCACCAAGGCTCCGATACGGTTTTACACATCATCTACTACTTGCCCTCACACACTTTTTATTCAGCCTAATGCAGCTGTGCTGTGAGCTGGGATTTCCCACAAATTACAAAGCTCAATCAGGGCTTCTTCCCCCAGTTCAGCTTTGGAGACATACCCATCCTGCTGCTGCTCTGGAACACTCTGGAGCTGCATTTCTCCATTTCTGCCACCCCAGAAGGTAGCAGGAGCTTTGGTCTCAGGTATTCTCTCTGGTTTTTTAAAACATTTTTAAAGACAACAACATGAGCCAGGATAACAGCAAGACTTCTGTATGAACCACTACCACTACTAAAAATAGGAGGGTCTTTTTCAGTACACACAGATACAGCTGTACTTCATATGTCAGTATGCCTGCCCTTGCACTGTTCTATGTTCAAGCAGTGAGTGGAAGCTGGAGAAGCTAACAGCAGTCCTGAGCTGCCCAAAGGAGGTGGCATGCTTCAGCCCCATTGCTGTGTCAGAGCTTCCAAAGAGGCCACACTGGGCATGTGAAGCACGTTAACCTAAAGGCAGATCCCTCCATAACATGGTGACCACTCACCTTCACCTCCAGCTGCCTCTCTGCGTGCCTCACAGCAGTGCACACCCTTTGCACAGGATCCTTTTCTCTCACACAGAATGCATTCATTGGGAATCACGTTACTCAGGAAACTGACATTTCTGAGGTAACTCCTGCACAGGCAGCTCTGTTGGAATTGAAGTTAGATAGGAGAGAGGCATTCCATACATAAGTCATACAGGACTGAAAGTATTCAAACAGTGTAATAACAAGGCAGATGCATCTTTATTAAATGCCGAAGGAAAAACTTGACGTAGCTGCATCATTACAAAACCCACGTGGCGCTACCTTGTATGTACGAGATCAGTGCAACAGCGTTGTTGTTCCTTTGCAGTCTGTGCTGAATCAGAAGTTTGAGCTGCCCTTGGTGTACCGGCATTCAGCGTGGAGCGCGCAAGAGCTGGGACCCTTCATCCGCTTATGCCTGATGGACCAACACTTCCCAGCGTTTGTGGAGGACGTGGAGAAGGAACTGAAAAAACTGACGGAAGGCTGAGCCACGTGTAACGCGTCACCGCTGGAACGCCCGCTCCGAGGTACACAGCTTCAATGCCATTAAATATTTGGAAGTCTCACACATTTTTGTCAGTGTTTTATTTTTAAAAACAGGTGAATCCACTTTTTTTTTTTTTATACATCATTGCACTTCAACAAATACACAGAACACAAGTTCATGCATCTATAGTTACGCACATCATGAGAACCCTGTTAGGTCTATTTCTACAATCTTTAAATCATGAGAAATTACAGTGTCAAACTAAAGATAACTAGTTGCATAGAATATTCACCATGCTGTAACGTTTCATTTAAACAAAAAAAAAATTATAAAAGTTTGCCTGAATTGAATGTACAAGAATATGTTGAACACATCAGTGCAAAAGGATTTGAGAATTTACATGAGTTAACAAAAAAAAATCACTTAAAAAGCAATCATATATATATATTTATAAACTGAAGTTCTGTTTTCAACTGCATTTCACCACCACCTTGCTGAACTGCTCTGGCTTCTGAAGTCTGACCGCAGGACACCCAAGTCTCTATAGGTTAAGCCCTTAAGATATATTTCAACCTAGAATTCCTTCTCTATGCACCAGAACAGCATCACCCTCTCATCTATCAGACATACAGTAAGGAATGAACATCAGCAGCTTCAAAATGAAACACGATTACTGGATTTTGGTTTTTCTCCTCCCCCCAAATATAAATATATACTGTATATATTTGTAAGTCTCGCCGTACTTTACAAAAAGAATCACTAGATGGCAGCAGTGCGTTTTTGAGCTTTGCCAATTTAACAGCTACGGTAAGTAAAAAATGGCGCATGCGTGATCCGACTTACTACTTCTAATCTTTAAATATAGTAAGGAGAAAAAAAAAAAAAGCAACATTCACAGCACATCAAGCCCAAAATAGTTTACACCTTCTACACTGAAGCAGTATTAAAGTTTATCTGACTAGGTCATCCTTGCAGGAGAGGCTAAATAAGGCATGCTTTAGACAGTCATATTGTTGCTCACTTGAAAAGGAAGAAAAAAAAAAAAAAAGGAAAAATCAGACAGAACTGGAGTTCTAGAACCAAGAGTTCCAACCCTTAAATTTAGCAGGTCATATTGCCATCAGTCTCTCAGAAACTTAAAGCTCTAAAAAAGAAATGAGAAAAGGTGCTAGTCAATGCCTGACAGCATTTCCAACATCGCATGCCACAACAGTATGTCAACAAAGCGCTTAACATCCAACGCGGTCTTAAATGGAGATAGAGGCTTTCCGACCAAGGTTAGCTTCCAGACTTTAAGAAGGAATTAGGGGAGTTTTTTTTATTAGTGATGGTAGCGATTACGTAGAGCTAGGGAGCTAGGAATCATTAAACTGCCTACGTATCTCATGAGGAAAAGTCTTCAGTACCCCCCAGTGCTCTGAAGCGTGCCAGGAAGGCACATGCCATCCTCTGAGCAGCGGTAACTTTAGCACATGGAACAAGTTTATACATCCAAACCATGACAGAAAAAGGAGGACTTTTAGTCTGCGTGTTTCTGAGATGTGTGCAAGTCATACTTACATGATAAGCATTTTTAATTTGTGTTTCTCTGGCGTAAGTTTTTATCTTTATGATTGTTTGTAGAATTGGTTTTCCTGGGGAAAGAAAGCACAAAAGAATAAAGACTGACCAACACCAACCAAAATGTAGCAAAGTTTGTACATATTCAGTTAAACAGCATTTCATTCTTCCTTCACCCCACCTCCTTCAAATGTATTTGCTTTGTTGAGTAAGGACCTGGCAGACCGCAGTTCCCTTTACTGCGCTGCTACTGAGAACAAACCCAGCAGCCACCATCCCAAGCACCAGCAATGCAAGCCCAACTTATATGGCTTTCTTGTGCCTCTTTCCCTGGCAGTTTTTCATCCCTTATCAAAACACAGGCCAGAGATCAACATAGAGGCTTCAAAAAATGCTTTTTGTCTTTTATGATATTGCTTTTACTCAGCAATACAATACAGAGCACACTGATCCATCTTAGAGCTCCAGCATCGCACAGAACATCTCTTAAAACGCTGCAAACTGCCATAACCTGCAGAATAACCCCAGAAATGCTTTTTCCCTTTAAGCACACTTACATTGGCCCAGCTGGTTCATCATCTGCAGCAAGAGTTCAGGTGCAATCCAGGGGAAGACAAAGGAGGGAAAGAAGAAAGAGTCAGTGTTTGTACTGCACACCAGCTAAACTGCAAACAGCAAACCAATCTATCTACAGCATTAAAGGCCATTCCGCTCGGTAGTGCAAAGATTCATGGAGTTATTTTCAGGATTCGAGTTTTAATGGCTGGTATGTCGCTTCAATGGTTTTAGTTAACACTTTGAATGCTGGTCATGAAGAACTGCAACTGTAGCGGACAGATTGTTGCAACATGGTCAGACTCATCTTGTCCCCAAGTTCCAGTGGTTCAATCTTATAAAAATAGATGAGAAGACAAACCAACATTTCAGTTGTAAAATCCTGCTGTTTGTTTTCTGGGATTCATTTTTTAAGCCATCCTTCAACTGCAGGCGGTTCATTATCAGCATATACACAACAGGGTATATATGCCATATGCTCATCTTCCACTATGGATGACACAGCCTTTTCCCATTTTTCTCAAAATCTAATTGGAGCAGACCAGGTTAGGGGGAGACTGAAGGTTCGGAACTCGATTCAAGTATCCAAATGCAGCCCCTCGGAGAGCAGTCTGAAGAGTGCAGCTCTCACCACCAGGACAAACCCCGGTGCTGCGACACCTCCAGACACAGGCTTCAGCTAGAGGAAACTGACAGCCTTGTTCTGCCCGAGCCTCCTGGTCAGAGGCCAAAGGAAAACACTCTCTTTTAAGAATTGGACAAACAAACGTCTGCCAATGTTAGGCATTAGCTCTTTTGTGGCCAATTAAATATTTTTCAAATTAAAAGAGACCTTATTTTTCCCCCAGTCTGCAGTACAGAAGACAGAAGTGCATTTAAACAGCAGTACAAAGTAAATCCAGAAAGTCAGGGTAACGCTCCTGTAGAAGTATGTTTTGGGGCACCAATTCACCACCTGCTGTTTTAGCATCCTACAGTCACCTCCTGCTGGGGCGATTTTTCACTGAAGCCTTTTAGAAACTCTCAGCAGGATTCCACAAGGGGCTTGGTGCACATGAAGCAGTTATGGAAGTTACAGTCTGAACAGTGTGGGCATCCGCATGAGCACACGCCAGGAGTAATGTCTGTCAAGTGGGACATTACTCCACCTGTACCTTCAAGGCAACGGATAGGCAAAGCCACTGCTAGCACGGACAGTGACCAGAACGAAAAAATATTTCAACAAAAATAAGGAACTAACCACAAACCAAGAGCTTTACAGCCAAAAAGAACATACTAGCGACACACCAGTGTCCACAGAGGTCCATTACCAGCAACAGTACACTATCGGACAAGATACAGAGAGAACTAGGACTAGTAAGGACAACCAGACATCAATGTGCTGTTGTATATACAGTGGAGATATACAGAGACACATCAGGTACTGGAACACAAAGCACAGCAGAGTGAATCTAGAGGCTCCTTCCACCAACATCTTTTGAATCACAAAAGATTTCAAGCTGGTGAGGGGAGCCTGGCACGGACAGCGAGCCCTTCGCCTCCAGCCCGTGCTGGAGTGCTACTGCTGCCTGCCGGCCTTTCAGACCCTCAGCTCAGCTTTCTACAAGCCTAAGTGACATCTTTGAGAGCTTGTCTTATTTAACTTCAGTGATAGCAAGCTGCAATGTTAGGATACGAGTCTTCTCTCGCTATGAAATAACCATTTGATCTCAGTGAGGATATTTAGACATTTATTTCAGATGGCGTGTTCAAAAAATAATAATTCACATCTATAAAGGCTGCCAGCAATGCGTTTCCCTGACAAAGACCCAACAAAACACCTATCAGGATACTTATGGTTATGTATAAGGCCACCACGTGCCCCATTCCCTTTTATCACCTACACGTGACCGAGGAAAACTTATTTATGCATTAGTTACTACCCCGGTCATCCATATCCCTGCTGAAAAAGCATCCCTAGTACAGTACAGACAGAGATCGAAACCTGAGCGAAATCAGGGGGCAACAGAACAACAGGAAGAATAAGTAATCAGGTTAAATAAAATAGATTAAAAACAGCAAACTGAAATCCAAATTAGTTGTGAATGTGAATGAAGTTGTAAGAAAGTGTTAACATTATGACTTGTGCATTGTATAGACTGAAGCGGAGATTAAACAAACTCCAAAGCATGCAGATCTCTCACTTACCACCATTTTTTAAGGGTATGATGCAATTGAAGGGGGGAAAAAAAAAAAAGAAGTCATAGTAACCGACAAATATCAATATAACTCAAAAGCTTTATGCCAGAAGAGCTGCCCTAGAACCCGACGTCTCTAACCCAGTAGTATTTAAAACACTTGGCCACGGAAACACGCCTCCAGTGTGCTGCTTCATTCCATCCTGCAGCTGCAGGGCTCCTGAAATGCTGCCAGCTGAAGCAGTCATCTCACAGCTGACCAAATGAAGCCCCCTTCATTCATCAGGAATTGGCTTTTTAGTTGGGGAGGGGATCTGCAGAGTCCAACAGATCGCTGTTTACATAATAAAGCTTAAGGTAGGTATAGCGATTATCTGCTTAGCGTTGCCCTGAAATAGCAGATTTCTGAACTGGAAGAATTGCTACTATCTTTAGCGCATCGTGTTCGGAGTGTAACCAACCCTTCCAGGTAAGATTTCTGGACGTTACAGCTCTACAATCATCTACAAACAGATTAGCTGTAGCCCTCTCTTGTATTAACTGCCTGGAACACAACCCCCAGGCTGAGAAGGGGCCGTATGTTGTGCAGAGCTGCCCTTTGCAACACTTCCCACTCTGGCACAAGACCAGGACCCACCCTGCTAACCATGAGCTGCAGCATTACTGAAGCAAAGAGCCACGGTCAATTCCTGCTTCAGCATGGGTAAGGAGGAGCCAGCATCCACCATATGACTCCTTACAGTACGACATCTACAGCTTGCAAAGCAATTTGCCAGAACTACTACAGAGGTTGCTAGGGAAGATTCATGTTTAAACCAGCTAAACATTTTGCTTTCTGGGAAGAGGAAATTGGGCCATACTTTGACAAGTTTTTAAGGAGGACATTTGTAAGAATTTAAATGGGTTTGTCCAAATTAAAAGAAAGCCCTGCATATCAGGTTTGGATTAACAAGCTTCTCTTTTGCTTCATTAATTACAGAAGTGTTGGAGGGAAGGGAGAGATGTAGTGAACAGAGGCACTCATCTTGCTCCATAGAACAAGCCAATAAAGGTATAGCAGTTGCTCTGAGATGGAATGAAGCAGAAGGCAAAGACGACTCTCTGACCAAGGTTACTTACATCAACCTCGAGGAACTCTGCTCCTATAGCGGCGGCTAACAAATCACTACCAAGGCCCGTGGAAGCCATGGTCTCTGATTACTGCTACGATACAATACTGCTTGCTTTTAGGTATGATTTATAGCTACAGCCTCACAGTGTGCCTGATCATTTTCTCCCTTGGTGAACTTTAAGTGTGGGAGAGAAAGGTGCGGATAACAGGCAAAAACAAAAATTAACTTGTTACAAGGTAAACTGTGTCAGTTAAAACATTTTGTTCTTTCAATTACTTACAGTAATAGCAGGAACAGGGAAAGTCAAGAAAAAAAAAATGAGTATTAGAAAGAATGTGGGGATGCAAATGGAACTTCTGCACAGCCAGAGCAGAAATGTATTTATGGAAGATCTTTGCATCAAGCTGGCAAATGTGGAGAGAGGAATGGAAAAGCATGTATTGTAACCCAGGTGTCTTATGGCTTTGGACTAAGGAGTATGCAGAGTATGGATTTTCAAGTAAAAACTGTTTACATTCCTGCAGGGGAATGTAGCCAAGGAGTTTTTACTTTCTACTTACCCCAGAACACACCCTTTAAAACAGCATCTTTGCTAATTACAGGCTAATTTGGTCCAACCACAACAAGAAAAAGCACTTTCTTTAGGCAAGTTTGATGCACTACAGCGAGGTCACGCTGGCTGATCACTACATCTATCAAAAATAAGCAGCTTACGCTATACCACAGAGGAAGAAAAAGCTATTTACTCCCTTTGGTTGCCAAAGGAAGTCCAAGCAACTTACAAGCTGAGCAAAATGCATCAGCAGTCCCCTGCTCGAACGGTCCCCACTGTGCATGGTCCCCATGTGCATGCAGTGAACGCCAGCACCTCTGGCCTCAGCATGCCACGGTCATGCAGCTCTCAGCACCAAAAGCCCCTGGAAGCTGCATGTCACCCACCCGCCCCAACAGTACCAAACCTAGCTGCTCTCCAGAAATGGCACGTGGTCTGCAGGTCAAAACCCTCATTCTGAAGTGAGGCAGAAATTCAAGCGCAATCTCCCATCCGTTCCTCCTTGCAGCACATAATTTGAATGCCAGATGCTGACTGCAGCCACCCCTCTGCCCACGAAGACAAGAAAGCCCCCAGTCTGCAGGCACGTGAGCACAGAGCTGCACTGGGCACCCACTACTGCCATCACTGCACCGCACAGATGTCATGGGTGCAGAACTACTTCTCCTGCTATGCAGCAGCATCCAAAGAAACAGACATCTGAATTATGTGAAGGAGGAAATATCAGCAAAGGAGCTACCAAGCAGCCCTGTTCTGTGGCATGAAAAGCAATTAAACCAAACACAAAAAGCAAGATTCATGCAAAAAAACTGCAGTCAGGAAATGCCAAAGTTAAAGGACTGTCCTTGCTCCTGGGGCATGGCAGTGCTTATGATGGAGGCCACAGCTCCTGCACGGCTCTGAAACCTGAGCAGCCTCACCCTGCAGCTGAGCTGTAAGCTGAGAAGTGCCCCAAAAGTGTCACCAGCTGCCCAGCACCATACCCACCTGAGGGAGGTGGTGATGGTGCGTGGCAACAGGTAACTTTCAAGTCTGTGGAACACAGTGATGAAGGAATTAATTCCATTGATTCTATTTGGGCTGGGCAGATAGAGTTCCCAAGAGCTCTGGAGAGCACTCCAGGCACCTTCTGGGACAGAGAGAAGGTTATTCTCTAAGCAGCCACACCCCCACCAAGAACTAGGCACTTCTGCTCAGCATCAGTTATCCAAAGTCTTTTGGGCAAATCGCCCAGATTTGCTTTCATTTTCCCTTGTTCAGAGAAACGTGCTGCTTTTCATCACTGCTTTTCTCCAAAACTGTAACTTCTTAAGACACTCTTGGAATGCCATTTATAAGTCCCCACTGCAGAAGGAAAAGAGGGGCCGAATCAAAGGATTCTCAGTGAAAAGCCCAGCTGGACACAGGAGACATTCCCTTTCTAGGGAGAATTAACATTTGGAATCTGAGAGAAAGGAAAAGAGACCACAGCAGCTGCCAAATTATATTCATGCTATGTAATGTGACGTTCAGACAAGCATCTAATTCATACTCTGTTCGGCACCCCATCAGTTGCTCCTTGGCAGTACTGCCACTGCTCACTGCAGCACGCAGAGGCAGGCATACTGGTTTGGAAACGCCAAGTTCCAATTCCAGACAGCACCACTGCATTCAAACATTAACTTTGGCATTTCATAACAATGTATTTAAAGTAAGTGACATGAGTGTTTTACTTAGGTTATTCCTCAAGTGTAGAAATCAGCTGACTATCAATGATTTCTCACACAGGCAGTCATAAAATGCCCTGGCTTCTAGGGTGTTTCCCACCACAGTATCACAGAATGCTTCAAACGCATTGAAGTGCAAGTGTGTCCAACCAAATACAGGACTTAAGACAGCATTTTAGTTGAGATTTTATGCTGAATTTCTCTCTCCATCCAAGCAATCCTAACACACAGACTGTGATATTCAGCATTGAATTTTGTCCTCCAAGAAAGTGGGCAGAAAAAACAGATGGGCACCCCAGAGCATCATTGCTCTCCAGGACTCCAGCTGAGCTGCCTTTCAAATAACAGCCAACTGAGCAAGCAAAGTCAGTGACCTCAGTTACCTGGCCCATCATCTGGGACACCTCCATCAGAGATGATGAGCCCGGAATTCTTCAGGTGTCCAGAGAGCAGCCAGACCAGCCAGGAAAACTTCAGCCACAGAACCGAGCCCGTAACGAACCCCAATGCATGCCTCACCTCTTAGTGAGGCTTAATTGCCCTAACACACTCATTGCGTTGCAATCTGGTCGAGTCAAAGCCAATTTCTACTGGATTAAGGCCAGTTTATGCTGCTTACAGTAAGGATTTCCATATTAATTTACAATCACTGATGCTTTGTTTCAGTCCTAGTGAAACTTCTCCAAGTGTCAGTTTGAAAAACACAGGGAACTATCAACGGCCACCAAAAAATGAGGCAGGATTCTTCCCGGCCATCCTGACACAGAAGTCAGGCCAAAATGGCAGAGCAAGAAAAGTACAAGAAGACATTTAAGTGCTTCTCTGAAATACACGTTAAGTTTTCTGGGCTGGTTGAGAGCCACTTTGAGGACAGACTGCTGGCCATAGGAACCCCCTCAGCAACCACAAAGCTGTTAGTAGCAGAGGTACATGCACTACACGGTTTAAATGTTGCTGGCTACACACCTGGGAACAGTCTCAATGCATGCTCTGAAAGAAGTCAGTAGATGCCACCGAGGTGGTTAAGATAAAAGCTACTTTCCTCTAGGTATGCACTATTTTATTTTTTTTCAGCTATGGAAGCGATCCAAGCCTCAGCCAAAGTATGAACATTTATTATTTGTAAGATTTCTTTTTTCCGTTCACTAAAACACAACTTGGGAGCAGTGATGTTGTTTTTCCCAAGCTCAACAAGCAGATCGATATTTCAGCAGCTATGTTTTCATCCCAAAAGGCAAACATCTTGCTGCGCTGCTCCTGAGCCCTTGTGCAACCCAACAACGAGTCACTGCTGCACAAGCTACAGCACAGCTGCCTTTGGAAGCTAACTGTGGTGCTGCAGGGCTTGTCCAACCCAGGAAAAGCCCAATGACTCAGTGCTTCCCCGCACTGACTCAGCGTGTTCCCCCACTGCAGCACCTGCTCCTTCATTTGGACACGTCATGTTCCTACAGCAAGCAAGATGGCATTACCAGCTGTTTCTCACAAGGATTCCTCGGTAAGTTTTCTTGATAAACACTGTAGTAAGCAACTAGGTGTCACTTGAAAGCATTTTTGTCAAAGAGGTTCTTTCAAATACTCATTTTAGCTTCAAACTGCCCCTTTTTCCCCAAGGAAGATATGCAGAAGAAGCTCAAAAGATAAAACAGGCTGTTTGGTACACAAAGAAGTTGCAGCTTATCACTGTTATCGAACCTAATAAGCTAATCTTAAGAAAATACAACTCAGTGGATGTTAGTTAGTTTCCAGAGCATTCCTTAAATACATTACTAATTCAGTTACACACTAAAATAAGAGCCCTACCTCCCACCTCCCCACCCACCCCCTTGAAAATGTGACTTTTTTTAAAAACATCTGTGGTTCCAATCCCTTGCAGTGTCATGTTTCCTCCCAAAACCTGCCCAGTGTCTGATCCAGGCATCACCAGGGATCAGAGCATTTCTACATCTCCCCATGCTGCCCCATGCTCTGTGGGACTGACATGCAGGATTTCATGGTCACTACAGCGAGAAAGAGACAGGGGCACTAGAGCCACCTGGTGCAACAAAACACTTGACAAATACAGTTGTAATTCCCCTCCCATCCCATAGTCCAAGGTCTGGGGGACCCTCTCCACTTACTGGGTTTAATATTTGGAGAGTGAACAGGTGAAGGCAAAGAGCTCAGAGCTGAAAGAACTGTGCTGATGATCCTTCCTGCCACAAAGACCCACTCTGTTCTGCTTCTGCTTCCATAAGTTTGCTTTGCTTTTTTTCCTCCTCTTACAAGCGGCTTTGAGCACACTTACCGTCTGGAACTTCGTCTGGCCGCTTCCTTTTCTCATAAATAACTATGATGAAAACGAGGATAAAAATTTCTGCCAGGATCCCCAGGAAGGGCCAGAGAGGAGCCAAGTGGCTGCGGACACGCAGGATGGTTGTGACGGACGTGGAGCCGATCTGGTTGGTTGCGTTGCACTGGTACTCGCCGGGATCCTCGTTGATCTGTAGGTTCGTGATGCTGAGCTCAGTGTAGTTGTCTTTATTTGAAATAAAGAATCTTCCAGAAGAGTTGTTGATATCCTGATAAAAGAGAGGTGCAAGAGAAGAGAGAGAGCTTTAGTGAGTGATGCCAAGGCTTTGCATTTCTGCGTCACAGAAACAAGAAGAAACGCGATGGATTCTGGCAAAGAAGTTGATACTTCAGCACCACAGCAGAGCCTGCTACCAGCATCCATTCTGTATCTCTCCCTAAAATGAACTGTGTTTCAAACACACACAAAAAACTACCATCAGCTTGACTGATGTGCTGTATTTTATCCTGCTTTAACAACAGCAACCAGGAAACGCCAGCGGTGGTGACCACAAATGCAGCAAAGGTTAAGATTATTCTATATTACATTAGATTTTCTCGTTATTTAAGATATGGTGGACTACTAGTCTTGCATTTGTGTTGTTTTCATATGTACTACTCACAGATCCGGGGACAGGGCAGTTAAAAATACCAAACTTTACTACCTGCTTAGTATTTTTTTTCAATCTACTGAGCAAATGACTAGCTCTCCAGCAGGTCATACACTAACAAAAACAGACAGGCTGAAGGACTCCAGCTTCTGGAGATGAGGTAATGGGATGAGGTTTAACTAGGCCAAGTGTCAGGTCCTGCACTTTGGCCACAGTAACCCCATGCAGCGCTACAGGCTTGGGGATGAGTGGTTGGATGACTGTGAAGAAGAAAGGGAGCTGGGGGTGTTGGTTGATGCTCGGCTGAACATGAGCCAGCAGTGTGCCCAGGTGGCCAAGAGGGCCTATGGCATCCTGGCCTGGATTAGAAATAGTGTGGCCAGCAGGAGCAGGGAGGTCATCGTCCCCCTGTACTCAACACTGGTGAGGCTGC